ATACGACGCGGACACTGCTGGTGATAACGCTACAGATAACGGACATCCTCCCGGAAAACGTCCAGGTTTCGCTGCCGTAAAGAAGAACGGATAGCACCATAGACATAGCAGTTTCGTCCCGATAATGAGCTGGTGGTTATTCCACACACATTCCAGTTTGCCAAATACGGCAGCTGCCTTACGGATGGACACTGGAGGGAGCCCGCTAGAGTCCGATCGTCTGGTTCTCCCCCAGCAGCTGCATCAGGTTTCACCGCCTGGTCTCGCTTCACTTATCTTGGCAGCTGCATCAGCAATGATGGGCGCATAGGAACTGACGTGAGCTCACGCATTGCAAAGGCCAAAGCTGCCTTCTTGAACCTGCGTCATCTTTGGCGACAAAAGGGAATTTCCCTCCGTTTGAAAGGCCGGGTATACAAGGCCACAGTGAGGGCCGTTCTGCGCTATGGTAGTGAGACTTGGCCCCTTCGATCTGAAGATCTGAGGCGCCTTCAAGTCTTTGATCATCATTGTTTGCGAAGCATTGCTGGTGTCGGATGGCACCAGCGTGTCCGCAACGATGATGTGCGTAGGCGAGTACTAGGTGGTGATAATCATGCCAGCTCCCTAGAACAACAGATAGCACTGAATAAGTTGCGTTGGCTCGGGCACGTGCTACGCATGCTTGGTCACCGCTTACCTAGGAGGGCCTTGTTCAGTCTACCAGGTGTAGGATGGCGCAAGGCTCGAGGTGGACAGAAGTTGACTTGGCAGCGGGAAATGAAGTCACTGACGACCAAACTGGGTGCTGTTGGTCCGTCTCGCCTTCCGGGTTGGAGACCACATGACTCACCTTGTGCTTGGCTCGAGACTTTGCAGGACATGGCTCGCAACCGACACCAGTGGCGCGTCTGCTGCCGTCTCCTAATCGGATTGTCTGTTTAAAGTGTGTTTGGTGCTGAGTTATCTGCGGGGTAATGGCTGATTATGACGCGTGGCAGTGAAAGCCGCAAGGTAGCTGTCTCGCCGATGCCGCCTTATCTTTGCACGATAGCCAGCTGTTTGTGACAGTATGTTGTCTACACAAGGTGTAGGCGCCTTGACCCAGAATGTTTGCTTAGGGCATTAAGGTTTTCAGGTAAGTCCCCCTTCTCTCCCTCTTCTTATTCTTTATTTCATTGGTCTTCATGGTTGTATGGCAGCGAAGCATCAGTTCAAATGGCTGATGTACTGCTGTTGGTGATGATGATGATGCCTGGTCTCGCAGAAGGCTGGCCCGCGACGGATAGTCTCACGTAGATCGAAGGGTCACCCACGGTTCCCTTCTAGGAGGTGGGGGACTGTGTAGTGACGTGGAAATTCCCCTATTTGTCTTTGTCAAATATTAAAATATAATATCATTTTGTACCTAGACAACTTAGGAAGCTTGCCTGTTCAAACGATGGCTACGTAAATTTGAGTCAAGCAAACGAATCGCATTTCGCACGTTTCCGACTTTCCGCTTCGAAGAGCGTCTGATGCGTCTCAGCTGGCGATTATACCTTTCCCTTAGCTAGAACCTTTTTATGATGCCTTCAGCTTGCAGGATTGTGCATTTCGACAAGAAATCTGTATCTCGCCCATATATAATCGTGTTTTTCCGACTTTTACCTAAGGCGGGACGAACATGAGTCTATAGCGATCAAACGATTCCGCTATAGGTTGTTATTACGCACCCAATGTAGGAAAATCTTTGGGTGGTTTCCAACACTTTGTCGGCAACCCGGGTTTGGGCAGACCCACCGCCTTCATTCCCGGGTGAAGGTTGCATAGGGCAGACCCTCTTGCTTGTGTTGATGGTGCGCCCGAATTTGGTCGCTGTAGATGCGTGATCCGAAGTTATGTGCTGAAACACATCGGCTCTGTGTGCAAACAACGCGCAGTCTTCAACGACATGCGGATAGTTGTCTCACACTGGTTCTCGCCCCGAAACGGCGGATGTTCAGCAACCCATCTTCAATAGGGTACTCCACACGAACACCGTAAACACTAGCCGCATCAAAAACACAAGACATCATGCCATAAAGATAAATATTGCACAGAGCAGAAGCCTTGCTTCGCAACAGTGGCGACTGCAAATTCATCGGTGGTTTTTCCACACAGCTGCGTCCTCGCCTGCATACCCCTATGCAGCCATTCAATTAAACTTGCAAACTTACTCGGCGAACCAAACTTACGCAACTCCAGCCACGGTGCCTAGCGGTCCATCGTATCAAATGCTTTGGTGAAGTCAACAAACAGCGAATACGATGGCTGGTATCGCTCTCTGCATTTTTCCTGTAGCTGACGAGTCGCGAACACCATATTTATAGTGCTGCTGCCCGAGCGGAATCGACATTGCTCTTCCGCCATGTCCATTTCAATGACCTGAGGAACGAGGCGGTGGAGTAGCATTCGGGCAATCACCTTGCCCACACAAATTGGGTAGTTGAAACCGCGATAATACGTTTGCGGCACATTAGCTGTGTTGTGTTTCTCACTCTCATCTAACGTGTAGTGATGATGATTATGACGGTAATTCGTGGCACATTGCTTGCTTCCTTTGCCCTTGTACAGTGGTAGCGCAAGGGCATCCTTCAGCTTGACCGGCACCTCTTCTTCAAATCACACGCGTTGCACTAAGTGGTGAAACGCACTTACCAACACGGTTTCCCCGTGTTTCAATACCTAGGCCTAGTGAGACTTGAGTGAGGCCACTCGGGACCAACACCGAAACGACGACGAGTCCTGCAGAGAAGGTAGGCAGAACTGCCGCAGCGTTTGTGGGTAAGATGCATTCGGTTTGCTAACCACGTACTTGCACGCTGGGTCTCTTTATTTCAAGTGGTGGGTTTGCCGTATTGTCCCGATTGCTTCTTTATGTCATATAAATCGCTACCTGAATTATCTCTAAACTTGCACACGTCTTTTAAACTCCTTTTGTTAACTTCGATAACATTTTCGCGTTTGGGGCATTTTCTTAAAGTATATTTTTTTGACCACTTGAATCTACCACGGATTTGTTGGCAACCAATTTATTTCATATGCTCATTTATTGAAGAGTAGTTATGTCACCGTATCTGTATGCATCATTCGCTTTATTTTATTTGATATCGTCGTTTCAAGTGCTCGGCTGTTGCTTTACATCACTGGTGTGACTGCGCTTGATGTGCATGTTGACAAGGTACCTACCTGTCTATTGCCCACTACCTCATCCGTACTGGCTCCGGTAGAGAGTTGATCGTTGCTGGAGGAGGCGGGGTGCACGGTCCTTGTGGCCGCGCTAAAATCGAAGAGTGGTCCCATGCACTCAGTGTGGAGCGGACTACGGTCCAGCCACCGTCTTGTGTGCGCTTGATTCCCAAATACAGCGTGCTTGTGTTTGCCTGTGAGCCGGATCCGTTGATGAAACCTTGCCCCCATCCGCATGCTTCCCGGTCTTATTCCTTCGGGTTTACATTGGATGTGGGGTGTGTAGTTGGAGCACAAGCCATCCATGGTCCCTCTGTAGGCGCAGGCGTACTATGGCTGGCTACAGTGACAGGCAAATCCGAAACCGGATACCGTCAGCCATATATATATATATATATATATATATATATATATATATATACATATATATATATATATATCCACCACCAGCGGCGCGTGGGCTCAGGACACTTCGAGAATCGCTCGTTCCCTACGCCGACTCGAACGCGCGACTTCCAGATTGCAAGGCAAGCTTGTAATCCTTTAGGCTAAGGGCCGGCGTTATTGGTGCGGTGCAGCTATGTGGTCTCTGTGTCCTCTGGTGGGGCAGAGGTTAACGTAGTTTCCACTCATTGTTTCCCGCGAAGTTCACTGAGTCGTCGCGGTGTGATGCATGTGCGAATTTTTGGGAAATGTCAACAACTTAAATATCTCAATGTAACTTTTCCCAAAGTTACAGATGGTGGTTTACAATAGCCATTCTGAAAGTGCCACTTTAGCGTCTCATATAGCGCTATGTAAGACAGTCAGTCCAACCACCAATAGTTGTCCTTCGTCTTTCAGAAGACACCGTGGTGCACATCGTGATTACTCGTTATAGTGACTGTTTTGAGCCACAATCCTTCTACGTTCAACCTTACTCAGGCATTAGAATTAACAAACCTAACTCGGAGCAGCAGTGTCCTGATTCGTAACTTCTCTTAAATCGTGTTAGTTGTGCGTTTTATCTTTTTGCCCTGTCTGGCCTTCATCATTACACTCAATCACTCAACGCACGATCATAGGAGGCTGTTCGGTTCTAACTTCGGTAGTCCTAGCACCAAGAAATACAAGAAAATGTGGTTCTGCATCTCTAATTGCTTCACTATCAAAAGATGATGTAAGACAGGTGAGTTATGGACTGGTCGCGGAGCCCATCATCTGACTCATTACGAGCTGTTCGCTGGGAGATTGTAAATTTTTCAAAGCGTATGTGGGCTCTGGAGATCAAGACTCAACGTGTCCGCTTGTCAATTACGCATGGCAACTGCAACACTAAATTGGTACCGCTTTAATTTTCAATGCCTTGCATTGTCACATCGTATAAATTACCAAATACCAAGCACATCCCTGTATCACATCACTCTATTTTTCTGTTCTTTTGCTCTGAGGCTTTGTTGTTAGGCGCAATCGCTTCCTCACATAGTATCTGTTTTCGGGTTAGGGTGTCTCAACATGGACCTAATGATCTCTCTGAAGTGATTGGCTTTCTGAAGATGAACCACCGCGTATTTTCGTTGTTTGCCGACGCTGATCTTAAAGCCGGTCATTATTGCAGAGTTGCGGTTCTGAAAACTCAGCTATCTTGGTTTTCCTGTGACTGGCAAGTACGGTCACTAGAGAAACAAGGCCTACAGGATGATCGATAGTGCGACCCACTTACATTTCGGTACTATATTTCGTCATATGTGGTCACGTATTCAGAGCCGCCTAATTCCATTTAATAGTACACCCAATCGAAAATCGGTTACTCCCTCATGGTTTCTCTGTAGGTCTCGTAACTTGGTATCCGCCATTTCGCCAAGCATTCCACCCTCCGGGGCAAAAATCCAGTTCAGCTTACTTCGTCCTCACCTGCCCGTTTTCTCTACTTGTTCTTTGATTAGCACACACCAAGTCGTCGCAGATATTATATTAGTATCCGCTACTTCCAACCCACAAGGACTTGTGGATACACTTAGATGGGTAAGAAGGACAAGTCAAAAAAGGGCAAGGGAGCGGTGAAGACCGTGAAGAAGTTGCAGCGTAAACTGGAGCGAGGGATCATGAAAGCAGAGAAAGAAGCCGGCGAGCAGCCTATCGAACAGTTGCTTGATGAATTTCATAAAAAGCAGCATGCACTGAAGGAGGTTTTGGTGATCGAAACTCCCCCGCCTTCTCCAAGGTATTCTCCATACTGCTGTTTTATTTTCTTAGGTCACATTTTTCATTTACCGCTTCGCCAGATTCTAACGAGCTTATCTTGTTCGGAGGTGAATATTTTGATGGCCGGAAAGTTTGTTGATCTCGTCTGTTCCACGTATCAGATGACCATGTTTTCAGATTTATTTTTTTATCACATTAAAAATCAAAAGTGGGAATCTGTGAATTCACCTGACACTCCTCCTCCACGTTCTGGGCATCAGGTAGTATCTTTTTCATCTATATTTTCCGTATCTTTGCTTAGGCTGTTTATGTTAAAAGTGCCAACATTCCTGCGAGTTTGTGGATTTTTGGGGGTGAATATGCCTCACCTTCCCAACTCAGATTTCACCACTATCAAGATCTTTGGACTCTTCATATACGGACTCGTAAGTGGGACCGTATCAAGTAATTGCGATACCAGTTGTATTTCGTGCTATATAGGTTTGAAGGTCCTAGCCCATGTGCTCGAAGTGGACATCGCATGTTATTTTGGAAGAACTCGATCATGCTATTCGGAGGTTTTAGTGACACTGGAAGGTATCTCGCTTACGTGAGCCTCAACTGGTATCTACCAGTAATACAGTTTACTTCAATGACCTTTGGGAATTCAATCTTAATTCCTCGTGTTGGTGTCTTATCAAACTGACTGGGGAAGTTCCAACGGCGCGCTCAGCTTGTTCGTTCTTTCCATCACTTGACTCAAGATCGTTATACGTCTTCTGTGGTTATCGAAAGGAACGTTTGACGCAAGAAGTGGAGCATGGTGTGGTGTGCTCGGATTATTATCGGATAGCCATGGAAAGTACGTCTTGATCTAGCTATTTCGTCTGCTGTAACGTCACATTTTCTCTGTATTTATGCTGTCTGCACTAATCGTCAGTAAGTCATACAACTACTCTTTGCTTATGGGTGCTCACAATTATTGTTAGTCAAACCGATTTCATCACTCATACCTTACAGATGAATAAATTTACCTAGACAAGCAAACTTATCTAACACCAGCCGCAGTGCCTCGTGCTAATTGCCTTGATAAAGTAGACGCACAGCAAGTACAAGGGTTGTTTCCTCCTCGGCACTTCTGCAATTGACTAGCTACCAGCATTTTATTTATCGTGCTGTGATCCGATCTGAAGGATGTGACGGACGAGGCTGTCGAGCAGAGTCCGAACGACCACCTTCCATACACAACTTAGCAAGTTGATGCCACCATACTTCTTCGTACATTGCTTGTCTCCTTTGCTCACTTATGAGGGTTGCTTATAGCATCTTTTAGTTCAATGGACAATTGTTCTTCGTACCAAGCGCGTTCCAATAAGTGGTACGGTGCATGTTACTTTGCAGATTCGTCGTTTTTCCATACCTCTGCTGATATCCCATCGGCCCCCGGTGCCTTTGCCATTTCGCAGCTGAACAAGTGCTCTCTGTGTTTTATTCTATGTTGGGTTGTCGGTAAGACCGTCCCTCATATTTTGTTATTGTAGCCTTGCAGCGTATCTCAGTCAATCACTGAATGGTTGTCCAAGAGACAGTCGAATTGCTTTCGCCATAACTGCATTATGTTTGCAGTATGTTTGCAGACAGCGCGCGAAATCGTGCCTTTTATCGGTTGCGAGATAACTACGATCGTGACAAGTGTCTTTGAGCTAAGCAGATGATTCTAGGTATCGGCAGTCGAATTCCCTCTCATTAGGTGAATCGAGGGGCAGTGATTTTGTTTAGTGGCGAGTCGCATCCACCACATCGAAGTGTTGTTAGACAGACGTGGCTTATTATTGGGAGAACGCTTGCTAGACCTAAACCCACCATGTCCTGGAACGCTGACTCTGAATCATTTGCTGCAGCGGATGAACCCGATCCATCCAGCTGGCATCACGGATGTTGTTCGGCAAGCAAGCAACACTCATTTAACATGCACATCACTTATGTGAACAGGGCGTAGCATGCATACAATATGTACACGGGGCGGTAGCTCGCCTGTAGCCCGTTCCATACTGGCTGGAGCCACTCTATGGGCCAAGCACCGTCTCGAATAACCATCCACAGTCTCCTGGTGCCAGTAATCGAGTTGGCGGTTTTTCGACAGTTTGGCGCTTTACTACCATTCACATCAAGCCCAAACAGACGGAGGATATCAATAAGCAAACATTTAAAATACAAGAACATAAACACTCAGGTACACGTGCTGACCAAATACAGACGGACCACATCGGTTGTACTATTGGATTGGGTTAGTAGACGGTAGCGGAAGCAGCATACTTGCCAAGCGTTTCGCTGATGATGACCTATTTAATTTACTCGTTGCATGTTCCATATTGATCCCTCGTAGTCATGTTGATGGATGACAAGATCGTCTTGGCTGAGGCACTCGCGACTGCATGTGCTGCGGCACCATATGCTTGCGGTCGATAGGCTAGGTTTCATCACCGCCTGTCGCTTCCGTAGCCGGCGTTTTTCTTTTTGATGCGACAGTCCTTTCTAGGGCAGCTTGGCAACCACATTCTTCATTTGATTACGCCATTGTCCTGCGATTTACTGCCATTGCCTCCCAACACCTAAAATAAACACTAGTTCGTGCTAAATTCACCTTGACCATGTCCTAATAACGTAGTTTTTGTTTGCTAGCGTTCCGCTTCCCTGTGCTAAGTTGGCCATAGAGCAAGTGCTTCGGTAGCTTTGTCTAATCCATACGACGGATATATCCTTGCCACCTCAGGTGCCGCAGCAAAAGTATGCAGCTCACTGCATATATGCTACTGCGACGCAGCACTTCCGTGTCTGCAACTCTGTACCACCAACGGATGCGCAGAATTCGACACAGGTACTCCTGGTGTAAGTGCTCCAAACATCTGATGTCCTTGTGCAGTATCCATCCTTTGCTGTTTCAAAGTGGAACGGATAACATCATCGACCGGTACTCCATCAGCTTCGTTCTAACAGTAGGCTGGTGATTTCCACACATGGTTTTCTGGATTTCCAAATACATTAGCCGCCTTCGGTACGCGAATGCGCAGCTCGTCGTTCGTCTCTAGGTTAGTAGAGAGTACGTTCCCCAGGTTGCAATATCTGGAATTGGTTTCCAAAACTCCCGTACCAATATGGACTTGTGACAGGCTACTTACTCCATTTCCGGTGAAGGCCACAGAAGACAAAAACTCTTGCTTTTGTTGATGGTGAGCCCGAACTTGGTCGCTGTCGAAACAAGAGCCGTCATCATACGTTGCAACCCATTCTCGCTGTGCGCAAGAAACACAGTGGTCGGGAAACAATAACATCCGGATGATTGTCTCATGTATACGGATTCTCGCCCCGAAGCGATAGATGTACAGCAACTCACATTCAAGACCGAGACCGTAATCATAAGCATTGAAAGCACAGGCCATCATGACAGATACTAAAATATTAAACAGGGCAGGGGCTAGGACCCAGCCTTACTTCACACCAGAGACAACAGCAAAGTCATCTGAAGTTTAAGTACTAAGCTACACCTTCGCATGCATACCACTGTGCAGATATTCAGTTAGACTTACAAACTTACCCAGCACCAACCACACTTCATTGCGGTTTCCCATTTCAAAGGCCTTATTGAAATCAACAAACGGCGAGTACAGTGGCTAGTATCTCATCATTTTTCCTGCAATAGTCGACCTACGAACACCATATCCATGGTGCTGCGGCCCAAACGGAATCCGCATTGCACTCCAGCCTTGTTTGGTTCAACGATCTGAGGGACGAAGCGGTTGACAGAATTTGATCTATCACCTTTCCAACGGCGCTTAGCTATTTAGTGCCACGACTATTAATATTGCTTGCTCCGTGCCTTTGTACAGTGGTAGCACGAGGGCATCCCTCATCTCAGCTGACACCTGTTCTTCAAAGTACACGAATTCCACAGATTCGTGTTGCTTCTATAGAATCGCGGGTGTGCCCTTTTCCCGTCTCTCTGTTGGCATCCTGTCGAATCCGGCGCACTTGCCGTTTCACATCTGAGCAAGTACTCTGCGTCTCCTCCAGTTTCGGGACAAGCATCCTTCACCTCTTGTTGTTGTAGTCTATGCAACGTAACCCAGTCAGTTGCCGAGCGGTTGCTAAAGAGACAGTCGAATTGCTTTCGCCATAACTGCATTATGTCTACAGTCTGCGTGCTGGTGGCGCCTGAACTAGCATCGAGCAGCGTCTTCAGGGGCCGCATGCTTTGTCCATACACTACCATCAAGGAATCATAGAGCTCTTTATGTTGTCCGCGTTGGGCACAGCATTCCATCTGCTTCGCCTTCTCCGTTCACCATGCATTCCTGATGTGACGAAGCTCTCGTGTCAATCGCCGACGGAACTTTCGAAAAGGACTGTCCTCTTCTGAGTCGACAGAATCATCTTCATATGCAGCTAATGCAGTGTTATCCTCTAGTTATAATGCACCTCTGGTCGCGCTGTTGTCATAAACCTATTAGGCTGCTTACAGTTTGCGCGCCTGATGGTTTGCATGGCCGCAACGGTTATCTGTTTTTTGTTGCGGTTCCACACGTCGTCGAAGAAAGAGGTGAAGACGACATCGCCGATGCGGGTGGCTATTGCATTCTCCTGTTTCATTCCCTTCTCAATAGTACCTGTAGAACCAGCACTAAATTTCCGCCGATTCACGGCAGGGGATCAATACATAAATTTACGAAAATATATGGTCCGCACCAACTTGTGGTCAGTTCCACACTTAGCTCCACGCACTACACGTCTCATGTGTCCATCATGCATCTTACGTTGGCGTACGATGGCGTACTCGAGCAGGTGAGCGTGACCATTCCGCTGTGCATCCATTTGGTAATATCGCTCCGACCCAGTGCAAACTGTGTGTTTGTGACTGTCAGGCGGTGAGTAGCGTACAGTGGGAGCAGCCAGTCACCGTCCCCGTTGCTTAGGCTAAAATCACGCCACCCGAGTGTGTCCACCTACGCCACGGTATCACGCTCAACGTGCGCATTGAAATCTCCCAGTAGGAATGGTCACTTACTCCTCGGCACAGACCGTATCACGGAGGATGCTTGCGTGTAAAACTAATGCCCGTGTCGTCAGCAAAACACATAGTGAGACCACATGTGCCACGCGTCATCAATCTTGGACTGAAGCTGGTTGGCTCTTCTATCTGGAGACCAATTAAGCAATCAGATAATGCAAATCTAACAACGTTACTTTGGTGCCATAGTAGAGTTTTACATCCAGTAGGTGTAGTCGGCACCCACTTCGTGCAGCTTGCTTTGGTCTACCATCGGAGCGTCACTGAATGCGTCAATAGCAATGCCGTTTCGACCAAATAACATAGCGACCAGTGCATCGCACCGCTCTGGCGCTCATTCATTTTCCGCCCCAGTAATGTTCGCACGTTATAGCATCCGATGATGTGTACTTTCCGCGGAGGCATAACATTTCGCCGGGTAGTCACTCGATTGATGAGTTGGGGTTAGTGCTCGAACTGATGTGCTTTCAGAGCTGTCCACACGTGAACAGGAGAAGGACTCGGGTCCCCAACGTTCGATAGATTTACTCCCGATAGGCAGCGGGAAGTGCGCCATAAATCAACCGACTCACGCGAATGTGTGTCCTGATTCTTAGCTGGATTATGAGTGTAAACACCCAGGGGTCGCCACGAGGAGGCGTCCAGGACATGAGTCTACGACACAACATTGGAATACGTGGGTCGACCATCTGTCTGGACCTCGCCGCCACAAGCCTCAGCGAGCTATGAACTCTCCCACCACCTCCTGGATATATGGTTGGCGGCATCCGGTTTCGGATTTGTTTGTCACTGCGGCCTCCATAGCACAACGACAGGACGCCTGTGCCTACAAAGCGACCAAGAGCGACTTGCGGTGCACCACCCACAGCCCCATTCACATACCCAAAATCCAGTATAAGCCCGAAGTAATAAGACTGGGAGGCATGTGGATGGGAGCCACATGCGGCCCACATTCCTACAACATGCACAACAGCAGCATTCCTGGTTATATATATATATATATATATATATATATATATATATATGGCAAAATGGCGAATCCACCACCTGAAATAAAGAGACCCAGCATTCAAGCAAGCGGTTAGTAAATCGAATGCAGGGTACCTATACACCCTGCGCAGCTTCGGCCTACGTTCTCCGTAGGACCTGTCGTCGCTTCGGTGTTGGCCCCGAGTGGTCTCGCTCATGGCTCATTAGGCCTGCCTGACTCAAGCACTCGCGACCGCAAGTGTTACAGCACCATGCGCTCGATGTCCATAAAGTACAACGCATCGGCGTCTCCCGCTTCCGCACTTGCCGCTTCTTCTCAGTATGCATGAGGTCTTTCTCCTGCACCTGGGCAACTGCCTTCGTGATCAGATCGCCCCATGCGTACCAATCAACCGCCTTCGATTCCCATGACCCGAAATCAACATCAGAACATGGCAGGCTCACTTTGATCATGTCCTGGTAACGAAGATTCGAGTTCCCCACATTCCAATTCCCAATACTTAGCTAACCCTATAATAGTTGTTTCGGATCCTTGTTGAATATATACGGCACACATGACCGAGCCACCTCAGGTGACTCAGTAAAAGTATGCAGCCCACTGCATACATTCCACTTCGACGCAACACTTCAGTTTCCGCAACTCTGTCACCCCAACCGATGCGCACAATCCGTCGCAAACACTGCTGATGGAACTGCTCGAAATATCGCACATCCTACAGGTATGTCGTCCCCGTTTCACTACCGTATAGAAGAACGGACAGCACTATGGATTTGTACACCATCAGCTTCGCTCCAATGGTAAGCTGATGGTTGTTCCACACTCGGTACTCTAGCTTCCCGAATGCCGCATTTACCAACGCGGTTCCGCTGTCTCAATACCTCATCAGCATCGGCACACTTGCCGTTTCGCAGTTCTGCTAGTGCTTTCTCCGTCTCATCCATTCTCTGGGTGCCCGCTAGGCTCACCATCACATCGTGCTGCTTCTGGCCGTTCAATGTAGACCAGTCAATCTCTGAAGCGTTGTTCAAGAGACGGTCAAATTTAGTTCGGCAGGTCTGCAGTCTGTGTGCACGCAGTACCTGAGCTGTCATCGATTAGCATCCTCAGCTGCCTATTGATGATGCTAGCGGCCTGAGTGCACACGGAATATTGGGTGATGGATGGCTGACCTCACACTGAACTCAGTTGCGCAAGTGTGCATTCATTAGCATTCGAAACCCGCCCGGTCGTGTCTAGGTAACTGGCTCCGCAATCGCACTCAGATTGATAAATACAATGTCATTTGGTGCTGATGAGTTCACCTTACTTTACTGAATATAGTGACAATTTCCCAAGTCTGTCGATCACTACAGCATCTGCAGCGCAGCTGGCTCTCTGAATGACAGAGATTAAGCACTTGGTTGTCCTAGTTGTGGCGGTGTTACTCTTGAATGGGTGCTCGAGGTATACCTTTTCCTTAGGTGCTATCAACAATCCTTTGGCGGCCTGTCCTGGCTATCCTTCTGGATGAAGCGTTTGGGATACCCGTTCTCCATGAACGTTCTGGTTATTGTCCCTATCTGCTCAGTTATATAATCGCTAGATCAAGTACGTCTGCCATGAGCGAACAAGGTTTTAACCAGTGCACACTTGTTGCCTATCGGTGTGAAACTGGTAAGCTGTAATTATTGACCGTACCATGTTGGTTTCCGGTAGACGGACTGTTTCCCAAGCTCGCTATCCCTTCGGCTGATAAGAATGTCAAGGTACAGCAGACAGTCATTCGCCCCGAATTCATGAGTGACTTTTAAGTTTACCTGGATTCTATTTACCTGGTGCAACAAGCGTTAAATTTGCAGTTTCGAAGAATCAAACAAGAGGATGTCATCAACATATCGTTCTAACATTATCATGAAAAAGCGGTCAATACGGTCTTACTGACTGCCAGTAGCTACTCCATTGATTTGGCGGCATGGGACTAGTTTTAAACGGAAACCAACGTTTTCTGTGCAAAGCAACAGAGTGTCTAAGCAAGTCTGTCGGTATTCTCGTACGGAAATTTTCGACATCCATCGACTGGCATATGCAATCGGCCGTCTCAATCAAAGGGACATTAGTAGACGTCTAAAAAACACATGACCTTGATCGAGATCTTCCATGAGTCCGAAGTAATCTTTAAGGCCGTGTAGATTGAATTTTTGTCTGAGTTGGGGCTACGATTCTTAACAACCAACGCTCCAATTTATGCTGCTGGGAATTCACCATAGATAATATTGGTCGGAATGGCATCCCTTCCTTGTGTATCTTTGGCAGCCCGTACATCTGTGACTTTGACGAACCATGCGACTCAAGAGTCTTGTAAGTCCCGTGGTCGATGACGCGATGTAATAGAAGTAGTTGCAAATGGTGATTGATGTGTGATTCTACCTGGGACGGGATCTCATGTCGATCGATACTTTGAAATTTGCTCTAATCATTTAGTATGTCTAACTTTTTCTGAATGTAGTCATTTCTTCTCATGACTACTGCAGCGGAGCCTTTATCTGGCTTCAACACAACCACTCCCTTTAGTTCTCGTAACACCTGCAAGTGTCTACTTGAAAGCTCACATTTCTCCTTCACAGGTACCATCAGAACCTCATTAGCGATGTCATTCAGTTTGTTTTTAAACCAATAGACAGCGTCCTGACTGGTTGCTTGAAGCTCCGTCAATTGGTCAAAAAAGCTCTCAAACTGTGCCTGGGCGAATAGTCGGTACATCTTATTAAAAGGGACTTTGTAATCAAGGCCTGGAGATAAGGCTTCCAATTGTAGATCATCAGTTTGCACATTTGATACGTTAAAGACATACCAGGATCACGAGTGACATTTTCCCCATTGGCCTTTATCAACGTGTTCCGTAGATGCTATTTGCACTTTTCCTTCGTACGATCAATGACCGTGTTACAAAGGTTGACGAAAAGTATACGACAACACGAATAGACCATCGAGTACTGACATAAGACGAGCGTGAGTTTCCATCAGTGTTGTTAAAGTGGGCTGTTTTGTATGCAACCGGACGGAAGCAAGACGTTGGAAGGTCGCATTAACTGGTATAAGTTTATTTGTACGTAACAACTTTAGCATTGATATATATATATATATATATATATATATATATATATATATATATATATATAAACTAGGCTCCGATGGCTGGGCCACGTGTTGCGCATACCAGCACACTGGCTCCCGCGTCGCACGTTGTTTGCGCGCCGGTGGTGTGGATGGAAGAAAAGGAGAGGAAGTCAAGCGATTACTTAGTCAGAAAGAATGAAGGCCATTAGCTTGCAGTTGGCCTCGGTTGGAGCCTCCAGGCTCCCTGATTGGAGTCCGAAGGACGATGAACACGTTTGGCTAGATGCGCTTATTGACCTGGCTAGCTGCCGACCTCAGTGACGTTTGTATTGTGACTTTGTCTCCTCCCGCTTAGCCTTCCCTCTAACCGCGATCTCATTTTCTAGGTATAATACAGTTCTTTTTTGCGGCACAACAGCCTGCTAGTAGCCCTCCCCGCACGGCTGGCGTGCCTCTATTGCATATTTTCCTTTCCTTATGTAGTGCGGCAAAATAGCCGAGGTAATTTCCATCTCTAGCTTTGCTGGATTGAGCCCCGTAGAAAGCCATTACGTGGCATGGTTAGATAGTATGAGTAAACCGACCGTGACCTAGTGGAGCTGATTTATCATCCCCGAGATCAACCACTTCAATTGTTCACTACGTCAACTGACTCAGCAAGTCGGAAAGCAACTGCTTTTGAGTGTGTTGGCGTTTTCCTTCATTCCGAATTTAAAACAATTGATCCCGTTAACACAACGTAGGTTTTCAGCTCTTCTTTTTCTCTGGTCTGTTGGGGCAGCATAATGCTACGGATCTCCTTCATAAAATCTATCTAAGTTCACATGTCCACAGACGCGGGTGAAGCGCGATGATGAGGCTTTCCTCTCTCATACTCGCTGACACAAAATTCCTTTCATGCAAGCATTTTTCTTTAGGAATTTCAACCGAACAAGTAGAAACTACATTTTAACAGAAGATACTGGATTCAATTATTTCGCGTATTCTCAGCTGTTTACAAATGATTTGTGGAAACAACAGGACACATAGCAAAGGCAATCCAAGTGCGATGTTATCGGCGGCCACTTTAAATTTAGCCGATAACATTGCACTTTTGCTATGTATCCTGTTCTTTCCACAAATTGTTTGGAAACAGCTGAGGAGAATACGCCAAATTACTAAGTTCAGTATATTCCATCACAATGTGGTTTCTTCTTGCTCTGTCGAAATTACTTTGACGGTAATTTCATCTGATTGTCGGCACCGTTACCTAGGTCTGGCCAATCATTTTTTGAAATTTCTGCCTTTTAATAACCACCACCTAAACGCAGTAAATCATAATTTGGTTTACGGGCGCCGTTGCATTTGATTTCATCGCACATTACTATCTCCTCAGGTCTGCTTTCACTGGAAATGCTTTGTCAATCTCGCATTTAGTTTTTTCATCGTGTATTGTCTAAATCTTATGTTTGCTTGCTACTATTTTTTCGCACCGGAAGAGGATCACCATGGTACCGCTGTAGCTGTGCGAATGTCAGGAACACGTCCTCGGCCGCCTCGCGGAGCGATGGGGAGCACTCTGCAATCAGGCAGTCGTGCGCTACTCTTCGGTGGTGTTCACGACGAGGAATATGATGGTGGTGAGACAGTTATGGGCCACTTTTACAACGACTTGTATGTTGTTGAGCTGGACAAAGCCAGATGGCACTTATTCAACTATGCTACCGAACAGAAAGCAGTGGGCACTGAGAACACATCCATCCCATCTCAATCCGGTGCAGGTATGTCCCCTTTGCTTTTTCTCGGTTTCGCTATTAAGGCGTAGTATTCTTGCTCCCTTGCGTACCTGTATTACACATCTGTGCGAAATACGGTGGGACGGTTAGAAGCACTGCTACTAGCCGCGTACGTGCGCTTCTCCAGATGAGATGATAGCACACCAGCCGCAAGCCCGACTGCCGCCTCTGTTCCTTACTGTAAAATTACCACTGGACAGTTACTGCGATGACAGATCTCAATGGTGATCCGTTTAAGTAGTGCCAGACCGTGTCATAAACTGGACGGCATGTCACAGGGTGCAGCTATACAATCTGAAATCAATTGCTGAATAGCAAAATGAATATGGCCTGCCATTCCGTTTCTCATGCCATCGCATCCACGTTCTTCACATGTGCTACTACTTAGATTTTATTGATCTACTGTGCTCGCAACGCTCTACCATCTCTGTGATCTCTTTTGACACATCATTCCTTCCGTTTCCTCCTGTATAGTTCATAGGTTTCCAACTACTCGGAGTCCAAGGACCTTCTTCAGTCTTCCCTTATACAACACAACGATTGCTTTCAATTGCATCGGACATCTTGTATTCATTTTCCCACTCATCTGTTCAATTTATCTGTTTTTACTCTGGTCTGAATCTCATCCCCAAACTATAGTTGTCGCATGTCTGCTGGATCACCAGTTTGCTCAGACCGAAGCGGCCGCCTGATGTTAGCGTCCATCGGAATCGTATCCGGTTCTAGTGAATCGCGATTTCAAAACGATTCAGATTGCGCCTCAATTACCGGTTTTATGTGCTTACAATCCTGTAACCTTCAGTTGATGCGCATACTTAACTTCCTCCACATCCGCATTTCATCTAGCGAGAACATTTGATTGCGCGTCAATTTCCGGCATTTTAGCGCAGATGTGATCTCCATCATTAGAACTCTAGTTCATTGGCATTTATCGTTGACAATACACAGCACTTATCTGTTTCACCGTACATTGATGTGAACGCTTCTTCCGTATATCCTCGCTGACTTGGAACTGTTGTTTAGTAAATTGCTTACTTTTACACTGTGTTTTCACCGTCCTCCATGTTGTCTGTGGTCCACCTTGCTGTTATTTGTCGGATAATGTTCTCTTAAAGGTCCCACTTCGGATTTATGCACCTCCGTATCTACATCGCAATTGTCGAATGGCGTATTTACACTGACTTTGCAAAATACTCCACTTACTTGCGGTGCCTCCGCGCAACCCAATGCAACCGGGGATTTTGATCGAAGTCCACCTTCTCCACGTTCAAGTCCAGGCATCGCGGTTTTGAATTCCACCCTGTATGTATATGGGGGTGTTTACGAGGTTGGTGACCGCAAAATTACACTGGACGATTTCTACTGCCTAGATTTGAACCGGCCGATTTCTTGGACCTGTTTGTACGGTGGTACGCAATCCGAGCAGGTCGGTCTTCTGTTTATACCTTAAGGTTTTGTGTTGGTCTGTAATCATCGCGTAAGCATTTTAGAATAGTTCAGGATCATGGATAGTTTTCCGTATGGTGACGGACGCTGCTATCGACGCTTATGTCTTAAGACGACACTTTATTCAGCTAGGCTGACAAGCCTCACCCTTATAATCACTTGTAATCTCTATATGGTTGTGTGCATAACCGAGTCGCAAGAGTTGATTGCGCCCTACCAGATCCACGCCTTTGTGTCACCAACCAACGAACCTCAATGCAATGATGCCTTCGGATATTCGGTGGTAGCGGTGCATTTACTGGACACGGTATAAAGTCGTTCCACAGAATGTCGTGCTCATTAGCCGGAATCGCGAGTAATGTACTGCTGGCTGCTGGATACGACGATGATAGTCGACAATACCGACAGTTGTTTGCATACAATGCAAGGTGCTTGAGGAAAATTCCTAATCTATAAATAGAAATTCGTCATATGTAGACTCACTCAGACGCCTGGAAAAGCTCTGTACACGCGTTTTATCCTTCCGGGAATCGTCGACAGTGCGCATTCCATCGGACCCTGGTAGCGCTCGAACCCGTATTTTTGACTTTTGTGTGTGGGAAACTTGTTTGTCAATCCATTCTCTTTCCAGTAATCCCTTACACTATGCGTTAGGTGTAACGTCTGCATTAACCAACCGGTGGCCCTTTTAGCTCAGCTTGTCAGCCGTGCTATTAACGTTGAACTGAAGTAGAATGATTTAAATATTGCACGAAGGAAACCGATTTCAGCTTACTTGTTTAGTCTTACCCCATCATGTTTAACCTCATCTATTGCAGAACTGTGCTCCCTAACCACTAGTAAGCGGCCATCCTGTCTGGGCAGCGTTCTGACATTTCAGATGCCAGATTGCGATTCCCTGTCACAATCCACTTACTCAACAACTGCTTCAGAATGACTTCCAATTAACTGGGTGCCGCTTTGTTCCACTGAGGAGTATAAACTTGAAAGTCACATCGGTTTTTTGCCATGTTTTGTAATCTCAGTTATTCGACCACCAGAAATACCATCACAGTTTGCTAAACATGATCGTTTTTTATCTGGCCACTTTCTCATCCCTGGGAATTGCTGTTGGGTCAAAACAGCGTACCTCATACTTCGAAAATGTGTGCGTAAACCCAAACCATGAGCACCCGATTTCAAATTGCTTTGTGCTGCCCAGATTTGAAGTGAATCTGGTCCATGTGCCTGCTTTCTCCTCAACTATTCCTCTGATATAAGCTAACTGGTAATCCTGTTGACACAAAGACGCAAGAAAATAATGTAATTAGGCAGCCAATTTGCAACTCACTTGCTTTGGCGATTTCAAGAGAGTCCACACTGTATATCTATTTCTTGGACACTCCATGTATGGCAGACTTAGTTGAATGCGGTTCTCAGCTCGAGGAGACCTACTATGGTTGGTTGTGTAGTGGTTATTTGTGGTTTGGGTAATAATGCCTTGTCGTATCTCTAGTCTGACCCTGCCTTGTTATTCGCGCTTAGTGTTCTCGGGTCCATTGTTCGATGAGTGCGTCGTTTATCTTTGACCCACTTTACTTTTCCTAACTTAAGAATTGCAACCACGCCTTGTAATCCGAGGGCTCGGTTTCGAGTCTGCGTAGAGACCGGGCGACCCTCGCAGTATCCTTAGTCTACGTGCTGACGGTAGTAGTAGCGCAGAAGGGAAGCGTTGATACTGCGTACCGGCGTACTGCTGATGCCATTTTCAATTGTAAATTGCAACCGATCGATCATGGCCTCCATTTGTGTCTTCACTTGCTTTATCCACAGTCACTCTCTCCTCTCCTAGGAATGGTTTGGGAGTGATCTGGAGGAAAGTGAAGAAGAGGATGACGAAAGTGGGGACTCAGAAGTGGAGACCGCTGCGGCCACTCGGTCCCACAATATGGAGGTTGATAGTGACAGCAGCGCTGATGACGATGAAGGTAACTCAGCCGGTCACTCATATTCTTCCCATGTCTATCAGATAGTGCTTTCCGCATCGGTTTCCAGTTTTAAGTCCCTTTGGGTATCTAGCATAACTGTGCGCCTCTCTGCCGGCGAGATGCGTTAATTTTTGGCTCCATGAACTTTATCTCTTGGTGGTTCTCTTTCACAAGTTTTTCCTTACGGTATGCTCACAATTTTTCACTAACGTCTTCATGGTTCATTTGCGAGCTCATTTTTGTGAAATGCTCACTCCCTACGGTTGTCTCCTTCTTTAACGCCAGTCCATAATTGCTTCGACGTACCCAAACTTTAAGGATTGTTGCAATTATACTGCTCAATGCAGTTATCCGGTTTTAGGCACCTCGTTCATGAATGGGTGTGGTCAGTATGTATTTTCATCATAAATGGTGAAAATTCACTTTTTCATTTTCTGGTTTAATGCATTTAGATTTTCTGCAACACACTTGTGCACCTCGGTATTTCATTCAAATGTTAATTAATGTCTCCACAGTTATAAGGAACCGGTTTACGGCATGGGCATCATTTTCCTCTCATTAAATTAAAAACCTCAGTTTTATTGACTGCCTTTCTACTTATTGTCTCATGTTGGAACTCCTCAAATGCTGGATTTTTCTTCCTCCCGTCTATATTCTTAACGGGGCTTATGTTTTTAACTCGCCGTGTCTTTTTTCTGTGCATTTCGCCACATTGTTTACTTGACCCTTTCTAAGGATACGTTCGCGTACATATATATATATATATATATATATGCGCAGATATCATCCCCCTCACACTTTCGTTCTGTTTATGTATCTGCAGAACTTGTTGAGGATGCACCCGCACCACTCTCCGAGGAGTCCGCCTCAGTCTACTGGAGTCGAACGGCTGATTTCTGGTGTTCTCTCGTAAATAGAGGGCTCGAACAGGACAGATCGAGCAATGAAACACCCTCTTTCATCGGCTGCTCAAACCTTGCCGAACGTTTGGCGCAAAACTTTTATGCGCGACACACACGCAACCCGATTTGATTGACGCCACTGTAGCTGTACCTACGTTCACCGACATGACGTCAAGATTTCTATTTTTACTGTAAATGCACTCTGCTTCCATTCCCTTGCATGCATCTCCTTTGAATCGGATCCTCCATCCGACTTCGTTCTCACTACGTCTTCCATCGTGTGCTTGGGTCTGCTTTTATTCCTTCATTTAGGTCACCTAACTTACAGTGCAACTCTTTGAAGCTATCGGTATTTCTCCCCTGACTTAGTTTTCTCCTCTGTTGCGTAGGCTCAGATGCTTTCCCCTCGGCTATCACTGCAATGTTGTCCATTGAACAGACTAAGATCCGGGCACTGAAGTGGGGTGGATCCAGCCACCCCCAGAACGGGGGCTAGGAATTTCAGGTTGAGTGCAAACAAAATATGAGGAAGAAGAGGGCTGATGAAATCTTGGCATAAGTAATTTAGGTGAAATATTAACAGCTAAACTATATGTATATATATGGTTCGCGGCATCCGGTTTCGGATTTGCCTGTCACTGTGGCCAGCCACAGGACGCCTGCGCCTACAGAGGGACCATGGGTGGCTTGCGCTGCACCACCCACGGCTCCAACCACACACCTCATATCCAGTGAAAACCCGAGGGAATAAGACCGGGAGGCATGTGGATGGGAGCACGCGGTATTTGGGGAATCAAGTGCACACAAGACGGTGGCTGGACGGTAGTTCGCTACACGCTGAGTGTATGGAACCGCTCTTCGAGCCTGTGGAGCACCGTATTGATGGTGGGTTGCAGAACATCCGTTGTTTTGGTGCGAAAACTAGTCTGTGAGACAACTATCCGTATGTTGCTGTTTGCTGACGACTGTGCGTTGTTTTCACACAGCGCGGATGAGTTGCAGCACATGACTAGTGCTCTGGCTTCGACAGCGGCAAAATTTGGGCTCACCATCAACCCAAGCAAAACTGTCTGTCTCTTTCAGCCTTCACCGGAGGTGCAATCTTCAATATTGCCGCAAATAAGCATTGATGCTGAAGTACTAGAAACCATCTCCCGCTTCTGCTACCTTGGGAATGTGATGTCCACTGACCAGCAGCTTCACAGTGAGCTTCATACCCGCGTCTCGAATGCAGCGGCGGCATTTTAAAAGTTAGAGTACCGATTGTGGAACTACCATCAGTTTATCGTTGGCACGAAGCTGGTGGTGTACAAATCCATAGTGCTGTCCATTCTTCTATACGGCAGTGAAAGGTGGACGATGTACTGGCGGGATGTGCGATATCTCGAGCCGTTCCATCCACGGTGTTTGCGACGGATTGTGCGCATCGGTTGGGGTGACGGAGCTGCGGATACTGAAGTGTTGCGTCGAAGTGGAATATATGCAGTGGACTGCGTACTTTTGCTGTAACACTTTAGTTGGCTGGGTCATGTGAGCCGTATGGATTCGAGGCGGATACCGAAGCAGCTTTTATATGGTCAGGTGAGTGTGGAGGAACGAAGCTTTGTTACCAGGACATGATCAAAGTGAGCCTCTCACATTCTAATCTTGATTGCAGCTCGTGTGAATCGAAGGCGGTTGATCAGCGTGAATGGCGCGATCTGATCACGAAGGCAGTTGCCGAGATGCAGGAGAGAGCCCTCGTGGATGCAAATAAGCAGCAATTGCGGAAGCGACTGGCGTCGATGGACTACTCCATCGAGGTCGAGCGCATGGTGCTGTAACACATGCGGTCGCGAGTGCCTGAGTCAGGCAGGCCTAGTGAACCATGAGCGAGGCCACTCGGGACCATCACCGAAGCGACGACGGGTCCTGCGGAGAACGTATGCAGAACCGGTGCAGCGTTTGTAGGTACGCTGCATTCGATTTGCTAACCGGGTGCTTGCTTGCTGAATCACTTTATTTCATTTAGTGGGTTTGCTATATTGTCCTAATGCTTCTTTATCTCATTGATGTCTACCTGAACTATCATCTATAAACTTGCACACGTCGCGGAATCTAATTGCAGTTAACTTCGATATCATTTTCTTAAAATATATTTTCTCACGTATTGAACCTTTCGCGGATTTTTTGCAACAACTTTATTTCATATGCTCATTTATTGAAGAGTTATGTCCCCGTATTTGTATGCATTATTCGATTTATTTTATTTCCTCTTGTCGTTCCAAGTGATTGGCTGTTGATTGATATCTTTTTTGTGGTTGCGCTTGATGTGAATGTTGACATGGTACCTACCTGTAATTTGCCCACTACCTCGTCCATACTTGCTCCAGGAGACAGTTGGTCGTTGCTGGAGGAGAGGGGGTGCACAGTCCTTGTGGCCGTGCTAGGCTCGAATAGCGGTTGCATGCACTCAGTGTGGAGCGGACTACGGTCCAGCCACCGCCTTGTGTGCACTTGATTCCCCAAATACAGCGTGCTTGTGTTTGCCTGTGAAGGAGTGGGGGCCGGCTCCGTTGATGAAACATGGTTCCCATCCACATGCCTGTGGGTCTTATTCCTTCGGCTTTACACTGGATATGGGGTGTGTGGTTGGAGCTGTGGGTGGTGCAGCGCAAGCCACCCATGGCCCCTTTGTAGGCGCAGGCGTCCTGCGGCGGGGCACAGTGACAGGCAAATCTGGAACCGGATGCCGCTAGCCGTATATATATATATATATATATATATATATATATATTTGTAAGGGGGGCGAGTTTCAGCCATACATGCCCTCGGCCTAAGCTTCGAGAATACATGGCACGATTAATTTAACACACTTCTGGGACACTACTTCTCAATAAGCAACTTCTTAGAGCCATTCGGTCAACTGCGTCAAACGCGGCTCGTATGCCTAACAAGGCAACGACCGTTGGCCAGCCGCATGTCTGACGACGCCCGAGTATTTGTTGACGCGTGCAGAATCGATCGATATAAATTCGGTCGGAGCGGAACCCAGTTTGCTCCTCACGTATGTTCTGTTCGCGTACCAGGCTGTGCCTCTTTAAGAACAGGGTGGCGACCACTTTGGATGCAACACAGGTTTGATTGGTGCTTCTGTGGTCAGCGCAGTCTGTCCGCATACCCTTTTTGAAGACAGACACGATATCTGGTACACTCCAATTAGACGGGATTGCGTCTGGGAGCCATAACTCCTGGAGCAGGGATTTAACTCCAGAAGGTGGGATAGGCCCCCATCTTTGAAAAAAGCCGGAGAGAGTTCGTCTGGGCCAGGGGCTCCGTAGCGCTTTAAGAGGCGAGGCTCATGAGCAACCACAAATGGTGGTGTAGCGACTACACCACCAGACAGCACTCTGTATTCTTGTGTGAGCACTCGCCGGTGCTGCTGGCAAGTTAAACTGCTGTTCAAATTGTTTGGTCCGCCGCACAACTTTATTTGGTTGACAATGGATTAGTTCCGCACAAAACATCGATCACAGTCGGCCTTTCGCGACTAGTAGGCGGGATCAGGAGGTTTTATTATTTTTCCCGAGGTGGCCGCTTGCTCCATCTCCATGACCCGCTTCATTCACCAGGCTACGCCATCCTCCGAAGGAGCTGGTTGGGTTCAACATTGGTTTCCCTGCGCAGTGAATGGTACCCAATGCCGGCAGGAACTGCTCGATGAGCTTCGAAAAGCCGGAGAGATCGTTGCAGAGATCCAGTGGTTGAGAGGACTACTTGGGAAACCATATACCAGGGTCGCATAATTGTGCATGACGCTGCGGATGTGCGTTTTAATGTCAGAGCGTGAAGTGCTCTTGAGATTTCAGGCCAACACGTCCTCATAGGTGCTGAGAGCGCTGGGAACAGAAAGCTTGGCTATGTCAAGCCGTTGCCGGCGACGCTGTTGGTAGTCACCAAAACCTAGAGCGATCTTGTCACAGGCAAGCTCGTGATCCGGAGTGAGGTAAATACTCCAGATCGATTTGCAATCCTGTATGCAGCCCCGCCAGCGATAACTGATGGCGATGTGGTCAATTTGCATCCATGGTTGGCGAGGAGATGGGGGACTCCACGTGGTGCGTTGGCGCCAGGATTGCCGAAAGCTGGTGCTCGGCAAGAAGAGGCCGTGATCGGCACAAAACTGAAGTAGTTGATCACCGTTGTCAGTTCTGCGAGTACCATGTCCATGTTGGCTACTGAATTCGCGCTCTTCAATCTCAAGTCTACCGATCTGCGCGTTTAAGCCCTGCAAGCACAACGATGTCGATACTGCGCTTTCTTCGGAAAAGGCCGGTGACTTGCCAGTAGGACTCGTTTTTAACTGACTCGGGGCTTCAATCTTTGAGAGGGTATGCTGCAACAACGAACAAGCAACCTCTGCTGGCTCCGCGGTTGGACAGTCACACTTGGGTTTCAAGTCGGATCGCGCAGAGACGACTGTTGACAGGGATCCAGTCTAGTAGCGTGGCCTCAGCACGTGCGATGAACGCCAACAAGACCAGCGGCTCGGCGGTGTCATCTCCAGATAAACGCAATGTAAAAATGTCATCGGAATTCGCAGATGTTGAAACCACTCATGCTCGGGTCCTATTATCGGATTTCATCGAGGTAGCAGACACCCATGGCAGTAGTCTCGAGCGTGCGAGTAAGGGCTGCTTGTGCTCCGATTTGGACCAGTGTCCGAACGTTGAAGGTTGCCAGCTTGAATTGGGTACGGGGCGCTAGAAAAGACTTGCCAATACTACTTAGCAGCGCATCCTCGGATCTTAGTTCCTGATCCGTATGGCGAGAACTCTCACCTAAGACGGCACAGTATTGTGGACACGAAAACGGAGGAGGATTACCAAAGACGGGTGAGTTGAACAAACTTGGAATGAAGTAATTAAGCGGTAGAGTGCTGTATAGTGTGCTGGACCGCCAGCACCTCGGTCGGGGGTAGCATTTCCAGAGAGCAGATAGAGTGAGCGGAGGTTCGTTATGTGAGCATGTCCGTGTCCCAAATAGTGCTGGATAGAGCAGCTAGATCAGTCGCCAGTAAGTATGATGAAGAAACGTCTTCCGTTTCAACCTAGCAGATCCACGTCAAATTTCTTCTAATCTGGCTGATGTGACATCGAATTCCCTCTTGGGCCCAGATGATTCAGTAAGTGGCCTTGCTTCAATAGGTCTGCTGCTCTTCTCTTCGAAATGTTCCATTTACTGGAATAGCCAACGCGGTTGAAATCGGCATCAGTCGTCCATGCTTCTCAGCTGTTGTTCCAGTAACAGGGCTTCCTTGTACTCGTGCTCCTTATGAGTTGGAATAGTTTTCAACCGTTCACAATAATACTGTTTTCTCACGGGTCTTTGCCACCCATCACCTCTCCGGTCAATTCTAAAACAGTCAGATGTCACTTCAGATTATTACGGACACGCTGACGCTGTACCCGGCGGAATTTGTTCGCATGATTCAATCAAGCTGGTCAATGCATAGGAAATACATTCACAGTTCGGACGTCTCAAGGTGGGTTTATGGCAGACTTTAATGACAGGGTACATCTGAGAT